CTCCTCCAAATGTGACATTGAATTTGTCAGCCAATCCATGACATATACTGATAAACAAGCGCATTAAGTTCAGCTTCCTTTAAAAAAAACAAAAAAGCTCAGCTTCCTTTGTTGAACAAATTAATGTCTTTTGGATTTAGTATGCTACCGAAAAAATAAATTCAGTATTACATTTCTAATTTTTATTATTTTAATAAATATTTTTATAATTTTTGTGAGTTATTTTATAATTAAATTTTTTTTTTTTATTTTAGTGGGTCATTTATCACTTTTATAAGTATTTCTACCACTTTTGTGCATATTTTTATCACATTTATGATAACTATTTATACCACTTGTCTTTGGTATAAAAAAATTTACTATATATGTAGATGTTTTTACTATATTTATGGGTATTTTTTTCTAGATTTGTAGATGTATTTTATCATTGTTGTAGTAATTATATTTACCTTTTTTTTTAGGTACTACAACAATAATAAAAAAACTTACAAATATAATAAAAATGACCATAAATATGACAAATAGAGGTATAATACTAATTTTTTTTTGGGTATCATAGTCAACACCTTGTCTTTTATTCTCTGTTTGTTTCTTTACACAGAAAGCCTAGACCTTATGCNATTAAATTATTTATTGTCGTTGAATTAGTAATCTCATCACGATTAAACAATTCTAATTATTTTTTTTTTTTAGATTAAACTATAACCGCTCACACTAACAGTGTGAGGGCTATAGTAGACATATAAACACACACACACACTTGCTAAGACTATCTGACGTGGGATAGTCCCAATTCTTATTAGTTTGTTGTAAATTTTAGTTGAACAAATTTAAGTGTATAAAAAATTACCCATATCAAACGGCCCTCGTTTTCTTTGACAAGTTCAATCAAGTGGGTTGCGTTAGCCATGTGATCAAAATTTACTGCAGTAGACTCTAATGTCAAAATCAAATTTTTGGCCAACTGGTCCAGTTCACTTTCCCCCTCCTCCCTCTCTGCTTCTCTCTCCCTCTCTCCTCCAAATGTGACATTGAATTTGTCAGCCAATCCATGACATATACTGATAAACAAGCGCATTAAGTTCAGCTTCCTTTAAAAAAAACAAAAAAGCTCAGCTTCCTTTGTTGAACAAATTAATGTCTTTTGGATTTAGTATGCTACCGAAAAAATAAATTCAGTATTACATTTCTAATTTTTATTATTTTAATAAATATTTTTATAATTTTTGTGAGTTATTTTATAATTAAATTTTTTTTTTTTATTTTAGTGGGTCATTTATCACTTTTATAAGTATTTCTACCACTTTTGTGCATATTTTTATCACATTTATGATAACTATTTATACCACTTGTCTTTGGTATAAAAAAATTTACTATATATGTAGATGTTTTTACTATATTTATGGGTATTTTTTTCTAGATTTGTAGATGTATTTTATCATTGTTGTAGTAATTATATTTACCTTTTTTTTTTAGGTACTACAACAATAATAAAAAAACTTACAAATATAATAAAAATGACCATAAATATGACAAATAGAGGTATAATACTAATTTTTTTTTGGGTATCATAGTCAACACCTTGTCTTTTATTCTCTCTTTGTTTCTTTACACAGAAAGCCTAGACCTTATGCTGAAGGTGACTCCTTTGTTTATGAATGTTCAGTGCAAAGATGTTATCAAGTTTCCCATAGCTACTTAACTTCTGTGATATATGAAATATTATATGCTTTTAAGAAAGAGCACTCACAACAAATCACATGCAACCGTTTGATCATTTAGCTAGTAGTTGTAGCAATATTGTCCACCGAGTATTGGTATGATCTCATCCTTCTCTCCACCATGGAAGTCATTGATCAAAGGTTTCGATAATACACAGGTGATTCAAATTTTACGAAATTTTGAGCAACCCAAAATTTAAGAATTTATATAAAAAAGGCACTCAAATTCTTTGAAGTTTGATCGAACTTTAGAGAGTGAACTTTGACTTTGCACCATAACACGATGCAATTCACTGTTTAAGATTCGACATATCATTCGTGCAAAACCTAAAGTGGCCAATGTGAAATAATTATACTAACCATGGTATGGTTGTCTTAGGTCGAATTTCACAATTTAAGGGGAGGTTCAGTGGTTAAATTTATCTTCTTGTCAGCAAAAAATCTCAGATTTGATACTTTGAACACTCTTTAATGGTCAATCACCTTTGTTCTTCAGGAGACATGTTTTTAAATTAGATCGAATTCTAGTGACCGACTCAGAAAGCGAGAAAATAGTTGACGATGTCTGGACACTCTATATAAAAAAAAAACAAAAAAAGTTGGACCCAATTATATCACATCCAAAATTTTGGAGGTGTGGAAGTTTCAACCTTAAAAGTCACAAATCACAATCTTAAGAAGTCCAAGAAAATCATGAAATTAATGATATATGACAAAAGAAAAGTGGTAGATTTCGTGTGGATTTCTATTCTTGTCTACCTTTTCTACCTCTAGTAGACTATTCCAAAGTCAATACTATACTGTCTTTTTGGTGAAGTAATGGCCCAACTAATAGGCCCCCTCTTCCTACCAAAACCTCGACTCCATCCACTCAATGCTTCGGAATGGGACAGAGAAGTATTGGCAATAGTAACTTGCTAGTTGGTAGATACTTGTTGGGGGTTGTAAGCATTTAATTAGGAAATCATAAAAGCTTGTGTCATGAACCTGTCAAAATATCCCCCCATTACTTGGATAAGCTCTCATTCATGGGGCATGGAAAATAGCCTTTAGTCTAACCCACACGGTATGATTTAGTGATCGAATAAGAATTGAGCAATTCACACTTTGTTTATGTAGACATGAACTTTCGAGTAGACACGAAATTAACAAAGATTTAGCAAAAATCTAGTAAATAGAGTTTATATCTAAGAGACATGAACACGGGTATATAACATTAGAATATGATAAAAGACATATACTCGACGCGATGTACACGATTCATGTGGACACTAATCTCTCAATTTCGATTCCTCCAAATTGTGCTAGATTAGTTTTTATTTGATGCATATTTTTTGCAAGTAATTATACAAATTAAAGATTACGTGATGAAAATGATTACCCAAAAAATAATTGAATTAGGAGGAGAGGCCCAATCAGAGGGTCAAAGGCAGCTGAAAGTGTTTTCACACCTTACCTGCCTGCCAAAACAGCCTTGTGGCACAGCTATTTCATTGCCCTGCTGCTCTGCTGGAACACTGGTGACTGCCCATTGTAGCCTGGCCTAGAGTCCCACAATTTTGGTATTTTTCAAGGGTTGGCCGTAAATCAACAATTTATGAAGAACCAATTAAAAGCTGACAGCTCACCTTGAGTGGGCCCTTCATCAAGTTTTTCCCGTACTCCTCTGTCTCTCTCTCTCTCTCAGGATGCCTTGCAAGTACGATTAATAACTCTTAACGTGGCCGGTTTGACAAAACATGAACCAGTCTCTGCATTATGAGTAATGTCAGTGACACATATAACACAAGCAAGCAATAAAATAATTACATGGAAACGTGTAGAGAAGACTATCGAATCAACTTTATTTTATTTTTTCCCACCTCCAAGTTTTATAATTTTAATAGGTATTTTTATAAATTTTAAAACTTATTTTATAACAAAAAATTATATTTTGGTGGGTTCTTATAATTTTTATAACTTTTGTAATTAAAATATTATTAAAAAATAAAAAAAAACACATATAAAAATGATAAAAATATTTATAAAAATTATAAATTGTGGTACGGTATTAAATTTTTTTTCAAAACTATTAACTACTCCGTAAACGTTTTGGTTATTGATTGTGTTTTTGAAGAAGATAGGGGAGGGAGACTTAGAAATTTGTTTTGGTCTTTTTGAAAAGTACACAAAATTAAGAAAAATGTCATTTTGATTTAATTTATTGACCTAATTATTTATAATTATTAGATTGACAATATGCTTTCATATTTGTTGGGACGCATAACTAATTCAATGATTGTAATATAAACACAAGTAGATGTTTAAGATTAATTTTTTATTCTCTCTGTTCTTAAATATCTATAGTTTAAGGTTATTGTACAACAATTAAGGAAACTATTAAATAGCTCTAATATGAGTAAAAAATAATTATACAAGATTAAAATACCCTTATTAAATACGTATTGAGAAAGAAAGGAATGTGAAAGTTACTTAACCTCCACCTAATTTAATGCATTGAAAAGTTAAATGTAAATTTGAAAAAAAAAATATTAATTATGTTTTAGTTTCATTAAACGACAGATATTATGGAACAAAAAAAATTATGTAAAACGACAGATATTAAAGAACGAAGAGAATAATTATTTAAAAAATCGTCAATGCCTCTAGTTAAGCAACAATTTTGTGAAACCAAATAGATACAAATTAAGAATTTTTAAGGACCAAATAGACACAAAATTAGGAACTATGTGATTGGCGTGTGATCAAAACCGTCACAATTTTCTAACAGGCATTTAAGATTGGATAACATAAATACAAATTAAAAATTTTATGGACTAAACAGACACAATTAAAAAATTGTGAACCAATAGAAACTAAACACATATTTTACAGAGTAAAAATATATTTTATCCAACTAGTTCCAAAAAAACATTATTACAAAATTAATGTTGTAGTTGGTATTGGGAGGTCCAACAGTTGGGTTTCCTAGAAAACTGTTTGTTCAATAATTACAGGAACGTAAATGTCCAATAAGCAGAAGATTGGAAGATCAGCTAAATAACAACCCTCAAGCTCATTAATAAACAAATACATATGGTCGTGTGCATTAGAAACTATTAGCAAAATTTTAACCACACATCTTTTAATTTATCATATATTTAACGATATTTTCTTTATTTTTTGAATCTTTACTAACACTCTGTCAGATTAAAATTGTTAATTATAATATAATTTTATTAAATTGTCAATACTATATTTTAGAAAAAANGTTTTTTTTTTCTAGTTTGTTGATTAACAATGGCGGATAAGGAAAAAGAGAACTCCGAAACCGGATCGGTATCGGTTGAAGCTCAATCTGAAAGAGGGAAGAACAACCTCCCTAACTTTCTCCTCTCTGTTAGACTCAAATATGTGAAGCTTGGCTATCATTACTTAGTTACGCATGCCATGTATTTATTGTTAGTCCCCCTTCTTGGTGCTGTTTCTGTTCATCTGTCAACTTTTACGTTCGAAGATTTAATCCAACTGTGGAACCAGCTCAAATTCAATTTTGTCACAGTGATTCTATGCTCTTCTCTAATGGTTTTCCTAGCTACCCTTTACTTTATGAGCCGTCCTAGAAAGGTTTATCTAGTGAATTTCTCATGTTTCAAGCCTGAACCAGAGAGAATGTGCACTAGAGAACTTTTTATGGAGAGATCTAAACAAGCAGGGACATTCAGTGAAGAAAATTTGGCATTTCAGAAGAGAATCTTGGAGAGATCAGGGTTGGGACAGAAGACATATTTCCCAGAAGCTATTTTGCAGGTACCCCCGAACGTGTGTATGGCGGAGGCGAGGAAGGAGGCGGAGATGGTGATGTTTGGAGCTATCGACCAGCTCTTGGCGAAAACCGGTGTCAAGGCTAAGGACATTGGGATTCTTATTGTGAATTGCAGCTTGTTCAATCCAACACCATCTCTTTCTGCCATGGTTGTGAACCATTACAAGCTTAGAGGGAACATCTTGAGCTTCAATCTTGGTGGTATGGGTTGCAGTGCAGGATTAATATCAATAGATCTAGCCAAGCAACTTTTGCAGGTTGGTGACTTTCTACACTTATTTCTCTCTGACCGTTGCGTCACCATTGTCTTAGTGTCTGACAAATTTATGTCTGCAGCTGAGCTATTAGTGACTCAAATATAAATAATAATATTTGAATTTGTTGACTTAATTTAGAGCTTCATCCTATTAGATTGGTAGGAAGACCCACTCAATGTTGGAGACAATGATTGAGTAGATAAACAAATTAAGTCAAGACTAATATCTCTTCTCAAATAAAAGAGATGATAGTTTATTCTTCAAAGGTAGCTTAAATGGAACCCTAAGGTAACTCAAATGATAATAATGACGAATTGTGCTGAAAACCCAGATGTCTTGAATTCGAATCTTGACAATTCTTTGAAATCAAGCCAAAAGTAGGTAGTATCATTCTACAATTGGAAAGTTTGCAGGTATGGGGAACCATTGTAAGGTTTCTTTTTCACTTACAGCTTATTTGGAGGCAGTTCATCAATTATAGGAAAAGGAGTGCTGTGTAAAACAGGGCCCCATAATTAGGGCATAGCATTCTGCACTTTCCATTGTTCATACCTGAATAACAATTAAATGTAATGGTTGATTTTCCAATGTCTAACTAGTCTACTGTCTACAACATGAATAAACTGAGCCTAATTGAAGTTCCCAACATCAAAATTTTGCATCTTTATTTTGTTGCTTGTACAGTAATAATATTTTTGTTGGTTAATCATCGATTTATCTTTGTAAACAGGTGCACCCCAACTCTTATGCTCTTGTGGTAAGTATGGAAAATATAACCCTGAATTGGTACTTTGGCAACAACCGGTCGATGCTCGTCTCAAACTGTCTCTTCCGCATGGGTGGGGCTGCAATCCTTCTGTCTAACCGATCATCTGATCGTCGTCATTCCAAGTATCAACTCATCCACACTGTACGTACGCACAAGGGTGCAGACGACAAGTGTTACAGTTGTGTGTTCCAAGAAGAGGATGAAACCAAGAGAATTGGTGTCGCACTTTCAAAAGACCTGATGGCTGTCGCAGGAGAGGCCTTGAAAACAAATATCACAACACTCGGGCCATTGGTTCTTCCTATGTCCGAGCAGATCCTATTTTTTGCTACTTTAGTGGCAAGAAAGATATTTAAAATGAAGATCAAACCATATATTCCAGATTTCAAGTTGGCTTTCGAGCATTTCTGCATTCATGCCGGAGGAAGAGCAGTGTTGGATGAGTTGGAGAAGAACCTTGAACTAAGCGATTGGCAAATGGAACCTTCTAGAATGACTCTGAATAGGTTTGGCAATACTTCTAGTAGTTCATTGTGGTATGAACTGGCCTATTCCGAGGCTAAGGGTAGGATGAAGAAGGGTGACCGCACATGGCAGATTGCGTTTGGGTCTGGTTTCAAATGTAATAGTGCTGTTTGGCGCGCGTTGAGGACCATTAATCCGGCTAAGGAGAAGAATCCATGGATGGATGAAATTGATGAATTTCCTGTTCATGTGCCTAAACTGACACCTATTAGCACTTGAACATGTTCTTTTTCTTTATGAAAAACTATGTTATTACTGTAAAACGCGATTGTTCCTCCAGCCCTATCCTCAATTGTATTGAAAGAAATTTGTTTGATTGAATGTATCATGGAGGAATTTGATTAACTTGGCAAACAGAGAGGAAAAGAAACTTCCCACTTTAGGGGTAGTCTTCCTTGCAGATGGTGATCTTCAGTTCTATCTTTTTGGGTATTGGCCATACCAATGAACAATTTGATACCATGGAGACTGTTGTTCCATCATTATTCTCTATCTAGAGTCACGCCTTCCATTAAACTATAAGTTATCATATTGTCATTTATAGTATAACTTTTTAAATTTTTTTTTTTCTACTTATCATGTTACTGTTAATAACTATCACATCACATTCCCTTCAACAAAAGAGAATATATATTTTTGTGTGAGATACTTAATGAAACTCTTCTCCTTTATCAAAATAAATGATAAAGAGTAAACAGTATGCAAGCAGAGCTTTCATTAATTTGCTGAGTTAATTACCAGAATAGAGGAAGCCGAGATATTGAAATTCACACGAACAATACTCAAAACATCAGCTCAATGTGGGAAAAACATTCATTAAGCATGTCATGGACAGAGCACCTGCCTCTACTTTACAGGAGGGAACCAGCTGTTCTTTAGCCTAACAGGAAGAATATGAGACACAAAAAAAAAAAAAATAAATAAAAAAAATAAAAAACATATCTGCCTGTAAATAGCTGAGATCATCTTTCAGTGGGTCAATGCAATGGGCCTTCACAAAAGCTTGAAGTTTTAGTAAAATAGCTGGAAATGGCTGACAGTTTTCAACAAGAGAGATATATGTGAGTGAAAGGGATACTCAAATTAAGAGTAAAACTCCGTATATATAATCAAATAATAAATACAAAGTGACCTAAATATCCTTGTGATCTTAGCAAAATATAAAAGTCATAGTAAGGGAAAAGAAATCCTAAAAAATTAGATTATACTCTGACACTCTCCCTCAATTTAGGCGCAAAAATATCAACTAAGTCAAGCTTGCAATTGAGTCCCGGAGAATGGATAGAGTGACATGTTTGGTGAAAACATCCGCAGTCTGATCACTAGTCCCCACAAACAATGGAGTGACAAAACCACAACGAACCTTCTCCCGAAGAATGTGAACATCGATCTCTATATGCTTCGTTCTGTAATATAGAGTCAGAAGCGAGTTGAATAGTAGATCGATTATCACAATATAATGTAAATAAAGAAGTCACTGAAAATCCCAACTCGCCAAGAATCGATCGTAGCCAAATAATCTCACATGTGCCAAGTGTCAGTGCTCNAATATAATGTAAATAAAGAAGTCACTGAAAATCCCAACTCGCCAAGAATCGATCGTAGCCAAATAATCTCACATGTGCCATGTGTCAGTGCTCCATACTCTGCCTCTACTAACGAATGAGAGACAATTGCCTGTATTTTGCTCTTCCAAGAGATAAGATGAATCCCTTGAAAAGCATAGAAGCCCGTAATAGATTGACAGTCACATACTCCCCCGTAATCTAAATTTGAATAACAGGCTAAAAAACTAATCTGAGATCCTGATGCATAAAACAATCCAAGTCTAGGACAAGACTTGAGGTACCGAAGAATATGATAAACTACATCAAGATGAGGCTGACACGGCTTGTGCATGAACTGACTAACTTGGCTGATAGCGAATGAAATATCTGGCCTAGTATTGACTAGGTAGATAAGTCAACTTATCAATCTCTGATAGATAGTCAGATCTCTCAACTCCTCACCTTCAACAATAAACTTCAGGTTTGGAATCATGAGTGATGATGCTGGTTTACATCTTAGTGTTTGAGAGAAGATCCAAAATATACTTTCTATGAGAAAGAACAATACCCCTATTGCTACGGGCAACCTTAATCCCCAGAAAGTATCGCAGAAATTCAAGATCCTTCACATCGAAGGCCTTCCCAAGGTCTACCATGACCTGCGCATTTCCAAAAACATCATCTCTAGTAACAATAATATTATCAACATATACCAAAAGGATGACACACTGTCCAGAAGTATTCCATTGAATGAAGTAGGTATGATCAGAATGACATTTGGTGAACCTTAAACGTACAACTACACTACTAAAGTGAGAGAACCAGGCTCGTGGTGATTGTTTTAGTCCATAGGGAGACTTACGCAGTCGACATACCTNCGTACAACTACACTACTAAAGTGAGAGAACCAGGCTCGTGGTGATTGTTTTAGTCCATAGGGAGACTTACGCAGTCGACATACCTTTCCATCATACTCTCCCTCATCACAAAAGTCCGGTGNAGTGGATAACATTTCAAGTATCAATGTAGCTTTGCTCTTCGCAGGGTCGTGGGTCATGGATAGTCAACGGCCCATGACGGGTTCTGGGCCAACCTGTTCAGAACTTCTATGGTCCACTGCCAGTTCTAATTTTAGTTTTACATTTTGTCGACTAGTGGGTCGGGACACGGGCTTACCTAGCGAGCCACCCTGTCGGTCATAACAACCTTCAGCCTAGACGACAAAAAATACATCCCATAGCCTTATCTGTTTGATGTCGACCTAAGTACGGACCACCATGTGTTGGACCGGGCAGCCCGTGACCTGTAGCCCACTGGACTAATTGGTCACGGGCAATTTTCGGAGCCTCAAACACTTTTGTGGGCAAGGGCAGAAAACCCAATTTCAATGGCATACCAACATGCTTCAGAGATTCTCCAACATTTTTTTAATTTTAAATTATTTTTAACGGATCATCTACCATTAATGAGTGGTGGACTTACTTATACATAATAGATCTCACTTGAATTCACGAAAGGTGAATCAAAGAGGAAAATGGACAAAAAATGTATTGGATGTTCATTACAACTCGATTTCGTAGCCTACCGAAGACTCAAATATTTGTTTATAAGTTCATTCGATATTGTGTAGGAAATTATCATGTTATTAACCGATCGAAACTTTAATACAACAATTTATGATCCCGTTGGAGGGAGAGACCCCATATTATACCATCTTTTTTGGTTCTTCAGTCATCTAGAAGTGGACAAATCTGATATTATAAGTCATAATGTTTCGACTTTTTCGAAAAAACCGGTGTGCTGTGTCATGCAATATATTCATCACCACCATGGAAGCATAATGTTGGCCAATTTAGGGGAATCTAGTTCATCTTCATGGAAATGTCATGAACTCCATCTTTTCTAGCAGATAATCCGCCTTGAAAACCTACTTCTCTTTGGTGTCGTGCCCTATTCACAAACATTATTAATATTGGCAGTTCCACCAAGTTAAGTTACAAGATTGTCGATTTAAGAGCATATTGTCTGGTGCACTGATGAAGTGTCGGATCGGAATCTGTGAGATTGGGGATTGAATTTATGGACACATTCTTCGTGTTACTTAANGAGCATATTGTCTGGTGCACTGATGAAGTGTCGGATCGGAATCTGTGAGATTGGGGATTGAATTTATGGACACATTCTTCGTGTTACTTAACTCGGTGGGCGTATGTCTAATGTTAAATATATATCTAATTAACCCTTTTTAGTACTCGGATCAATGAATACAAAATGTGGCAATAATTATTTTTTTACGACTATTGTATAAAAAGTGATTAAATTATCAAATTAACATTGATAAGATTATCGATTTAAATACGATAATAATAATTTTATATAAATAATGTCAAATGTTACGTGGATATCTTTTTATCCATTAAGACACTGGTCATTTATTGTCAATCTGATCCTCTTAATTCCTAAAAGCTGCATGTCAAAATTTGGTGTCACATCACATCCAAGAAAACAAACAAAACAAAAGAAAGGAATGAAAAAAAGAAAAGAAAAAGAGAAGAGTTAATATCATTTTCAAGTTCTCTTAACTTTCCAATTTTGACTTTTACTACTTGTACTCTGGACAATACTATGGTGCCAATTTTTTAGTTTTTTGGTATAAAATACCATAAAATTAATAATTTTATCTCAAAAGAGAATAATTTCACCTATATTATTATTTTTTTTTTTGGGAGGGAGGGAAAGGGGGACTTGAACACTTGACCTAAAAAAGGCAAAACTTTTCACAAGGCAAGGAGTATCATTGGATCTAAAAGGTGATTATTTCACTAAAAAAGTGATAAATATATCCAAAATAATGTAACATAATTTTAAAATGTGCACCCTTCAAAATATTTCATGGAATCGATCCACAACATTTGAGATCGATCCCAAAATATTTGGAATTGATTCCAATTATACTTGATCAATCACAAATATAAAGAAACCTCTTTGTTGGATAGATCAAAATACTTTGGGAACATCTATAAATGTGATGACGCACAAAAATAGATTTATGCACCACCTGTCGAGTAATTAATATAGGTAATAAATGTAGTACATATAAACGTGAGATCAACACAGGCAACACATAGATATAGAGTGATTCGGTTGGGATGATTTACTCCACTTTGAAAGCAGCAACGGTGGCCAGAAGACTTTTTTTGATAAAGTAGCAGGTGGGAGAGATAGAGGGTACGCTCAAAGTGAGGTGTGTGAAGTCTTTGTGTGAGAGATAACTGTCTCAGAGAGATGTTTCTCCTCATGTGTAGAGTAGGGGTGTTCAAATTTTTGATTAGTTGCAATTTCTTACTCTACCTGACCTTATTAAACGGTTAGACGAAAAAATCGGGTAAGAATAAGGAGTATTCATTAATTTGAGTATTCCTATCTTACCATATTCACATTAATATATATATATATAAACTAAAAACACTAATTCCCTAACCATATGGTTTAAACTTAAAATAATTGTTATTGTATTTATTGTATTCGCGCAACAATTATGATGGATTGATGTTTATGTTTTTTTTTTTGTGTTTTATTGTAATTGTTTTAAGTTTTAGTATTATTGGTTTATTGTGTTATTAAATTAGTATATGTTATTTAATTGAATTGCTAAAATGATTTAAAAATTAA